ATTATAACGCCCCCACGGCTGAAAGGGCGAGCATGTTTGGTGGGATGCGGATTCGAACCCGCGACCCTCCTGCGTAAAGAACATAAAAATGTTCAAACAAGCAGCATTAAAGTTAAAGTTCTGAGGCACCAAATCATGATAGGCTGAGCGTGTTTCATTTTTCATTCTTTTTTATGTTGTCCATTGAGGAATTCAACCCAGAGGTGTATAAAAAAATGGTTCGTATTCTATTTGCTATAAGTTACCATTGGACTTCTTGCAAGCTTCTTATAAATAAATAGATATCAAAAACTTCAATATTCACGTTATAATGTCGGTATATGAAGTAAAATATTGTACAAACAGCGTATTTCTTTACACATCAGTACCATTCATGAATATATTTATATTATTGGGAAACCAGGTTTTACTAGATTTTGAAAATTGTTTAACCTTTCTGTACGAATTTGTCCTTAAATAATGCAGAAACATTTATGTGTTTAAAATGCTTACTACTAAGTAGTTGATGCTTAGATACCTGAATTTACGAACACCCACAAGTGTTGTCTAGTTCGAGAACTGTTTATTAATAATGATTCTTGAATGGAAACCACTGAAGATATCAAAGAGTAAAGAATTTGTTTTACTATTGACAGTATGTTCTGTTCTGGTATTTCACAAAACATTTTATTAGTTTAGAATAAACTTTTGAATTTATGTAGCATTTTCGTTGAATATAAACTACAAAAAAGACGTTTATGGAGTTGGTTCAATTAATTTTTAAAAGTCAGAAATTAATTTATTTGATATTTCATGATAGATTTCCAAAGGCAGTTAATTGTTTTGTAACTGAAGTTTCATCATGAAAGTTCAAATCCCTGATAATTAGATCAAAATCAAACACTGAAATCTGGTAATTGTTGATAGTTCTATTAACAGCTTTTGCCATTTTCGTGAGTTTACTAAAGTTTAGAAGCAACATAAAATAGTTTGATAATATTGTATCACTTTTATCGATTATTACACACTTTTAAACATTACATAACAAGGCATGGGTTAATACAAAATTACTAGAGATGTAAAAATAATTAAAATTTGATAACTTGATATGAAAACTTTCCATGTAAGTGCAATGTGTTAAGTAAATAGAAGTTAGAAAAAAAAACGATTACCTTCATAGGTTTAAAAGGGTTTATTAAAAGTTTCATCTACATATATATACGTCCGGTGAAAAAAAAAGAAAAAGATCGCGATATGAGTATTCTTACACAATTCAGTTACGATAAAATGGAACATGATGATAATGAGCAAAATGTGTTTATCTTTGATAGGATGTATGAGTGAAAATTAAAAACAACGTTTTACGAAATTTCCGTCCGCTGCATATGCGTTACTAACATTACTTATTCCGCCATTACAGTTCGGTTATATAAATGTAACAATATTTTCATCACCTAGCTTAAAACGCATAGAAAAAAATATGTACATATTGAAACATAGATTTAATGTACAAACGGTGTGCGTGTGCAACAAACATATAAAGATAATTCCGCAAATAATTATTGGGTTCTCCAGTGATGGCTTTATTTACAAGGGCTGATTGGTGCTAAATATTAAAGAACATAAGTGTAAGAAATAAGAATTGGAGTAGATCTGGAGTTAATAAGTGGGTGTTGTTAATTCTAATAACTAAATCATTTTTCTACCCGCCCTATTTGTCCCATTCATCATTCAAAAGCTCATATAAGTATTAAGTATTCCATGTTTCGATTAGGATAACAACTGTAATATCACAATCATGTTTCGTACCTCAAAATGTCACGTGTGTGTGTGTGTGTATATATATATCGGTAGATAGTGTAGGCATAAGCTTTTTTTTTCCGTTCTAGATAAACCAGCGAGACAAGGTATCCCAGAGAATATTGAGCAAGCTGTTTGAATGATTATGTATGATGCTATGATTGATTTAAATCTGAACAAAAGTTCTGGTGAAAGCTTATCGAGTCTTTTTCGCACCCCCACTTTTACTTATAAACTTGACTTATATAGCAACTGTTAATTATATTATCATATTCATTTTCTGGAAGACATGCCCCCCTAGATTGAGCTGCCTTTGGCAGCACGGGAGCTACTTTTAAAAGCTCCTTATATTTTCAATCTCCTTTGTAAAATCTACATGTGTAACCAAGCAACCACTTTGCAACTACTTCTTACACCACTGTTTCGTTACATTAATTTCTACTTGCTTCATATGTAATAAATGTATCATTTTATGTAGATCCCAACTATATTCAATGTCCAGTGCTTCTTATAAGAATGAGGATTTAGGACTTATGTTTGTTTTAACTTTTACCCGTTTTAACCTTTTCAACAAACTACCATCACCAAATTAAATATGAAAAAAACTAACCAACCCAAAACACGCATAAGTTCGTAACTAAATTATTGTGCTCTAGTAAAACCTTATAATATGTTAAGTGTATTTAATTATGCATTAAGGAAAATAGGTATCTTAACAATAATTTATATGACGAATGTACCCTTAAGAATATAACAATAATGGCTAAAATACCGTGTGCATTGTTATAGTGACCCTAGTTTTATAATTCAGCGTAAAGAGTTTTACATGTCACCAATAGAACAAGTTCTTAGTAAATTAAAAACATTGAACGTTTTATGGATGAAAAACTTAAGGATCATAAATACAATTATGAAAAAAACAACAATAAATGAAAACATATCTCATGACGATAGCTTCATTATTATTAGGTAGTCAGTCTTCCTGAAACTTTAGACCTTGTAGAGGGATTTAACAGTCATTCTTATCACGCATCTACGACCATAACGTGCAGAATGACATTTATATATATATATATATATATATATACGCTAACTACGTGGCTTTATGAGTAAATAAACTCAAGATAATGTCTTTTAGATAATAAGCTGAGTCGAAATATCATACACTTCGTTACTGGTACACATTAGAGTTAGATGTTATATTTACCACTATCTTCCCACATTAGAGATATATGTTATATTTACCACTATCTTCCCACATTAGAGATAGATGTTATATTTACCAATATCTTTACACATTAGAGATAGATGTTATATTTACCACTATCTTCACTCACTAGAGATAGATGTTATATTTACCACTATCTTCCCACATTAGAGATAGATGTTATATTTACCACTAGCTTCCCACATTAGAGATAGATGTTATATTTACCACTATATTCACACATTAGAGATAGATGTTATATTTACCACTATCTTCACACATTAGAGATAGATGTTATATTTACCACTATCTTCCCACATTAGAGATAGATGTTATATTTACCAATATCTTCACACATTAGAGATAGATGTTATATTTACCACTATCTTCCCACATTAGAGATAGATGTTATATTTACCACTATCTTCCCACATTAGAGATAGATGTTATATTTACCACTATCTTCCCACATTAGAGATAGATGTTATATTTACCACTATCTTCACTCATTAGAGTTAAATGTCATACGGTCAATCTACTAGAGACAGTGAATTTACAGTCAATTAGCTATAGTTATTAGAATGAGCCATCGTACAGTCAATGCTTTTAGTTTGTTTGTTGTATTTCGCGCAATGCTACTCGATGGCTATTTGCATTAGCTGTCACTGATTTTGATCTAATAGACTAGAGAGAGAGCAGCTAATCAACAGACACCCACAGCTAAGTATTAAACTACTCTTGTGAGACCTTATAAAGGGATTTAACCGTCACTCTTATAACATATTGACGGCCAAAAAGTGCAAAATATAATTTTTTTACACTAACTGCTTGGTTTTTCAAAAATTACATTTAAGACGCTGTATTTAAATGTCACAAAAATCATGCTCTTCAAACGTTCAGCGTAAATCGTATTTACCGACTTCTCTGAAGGTATGTATTACAAGTTGCAAAAAATTAATGACACTGTTTACATCTTTGACTATATAACATTGTATTATATATTAATGTTAAAGAAAAAACTCATTTGCACAGTCTCTAATGTAATTTTTTGTCAGGAAGTTCAGTTCAAGTGTTTATTTAAGATCAGAGAAATTTGTACAATGCCTTAAAGCACATAATAATTTCTAGTAAACCTCATATTCAAGATAAAATTCTAATACAGACCAGTACACAAGCCATGAAAGCATGCTCACCGACATCAATTTATTAAAATTTATTACCATGTAATTACCAATACTATTCAAAACCCTTCAGGGCAAATTCTAAAGACCTTATTCTTTTTTTTTATCATATTTAATCCTTTCGGATTTCAAGTTTTATCGAGATCACAAATGAAATATAATAACTAGTGTTCTAAAAGTGATTGTTTAATGAATAAATGTGAATTGTACATCAAAAATGTGTTACGTAATATGAAACAAACATGGCTGCCTTCATAGTTTGTGAATAAAATAATTTTAAATAATGTGGAACTGTCATTCTATTAAATAGAAATATGTTGTACCAGTTTCTGCAGAGCAGATAGGAATCCTAATAACACGTCATAATGATGACGTAGCTTCTTGGCTAACGTCTACACTACCTACAGGTGTCGGCAATTGACGTAACCCCAATGATCCACTATGGTGTGATTGGTCTTGGTTTGTGGCGCCATCTATTGATGCTGAAACAAATCTTCTACATTTCGGACATCTATCCAGTGTAGGAGACGACACCAAAGAAGATTTACGACGTGTTCTACCAGTTTTGTCATGATCTGCACTCTCTTGTGTTTTATTCAGATTTTGTTCATACTCACTCAGAACAAGATATTTTTCTTCTTTGTTACACGATGTAATGCATTCGTCAACAAAATCTTCCCAGATGTTGTCTAACATCGCCTCTTCAGATATACAGGTGAGCTCTTGCCTACGAAGATCCGTATAGTTACTGACCGTCATGCTTCTCTGTTGAAGACGAGTTAAAGGGGGGTTTCTACCATAAACAGAGTCTTGTGACAGTGACCTTCGACTAAATGTTCGACTCATGCAAGCATCAGAACGCCGCCTAGCGTGACTCAACACACTCATCTTCCCTTTCTTTGTCCGACGTTTATGAAGATCAATAAGAAATAATGACATACTACCAATAAACGTAAAAGCTGCTGAAAAATAAAAACCCGTTTTCCCATCGTACAGCTCATTTAGGTAACCTAGATAGAAAATAAAGAACATGGAATGATTTGAATAAATCCCAACTTCAGTGTCAACATTACAAAACTAATAATTCAGATTAATTTCATTATGCGTATATATCGGTAGTTTATCCTGTAGAAATTTGGTCATACGTACCTATATTAACCCAAATCAGACAGGATATACGTAATTTAAGTCACACAGGATAGTTATAACAGAGTGACTCGATGGTTTGCCGTGCTTTATAGCCAAATAATTGAATCTATTTTTACTAACTATAATATGAATGTGTACAGAACATTAATCAGTTATGAGTAACGTTACCAAGTCGTTGTAGTACCAATTAATCAATAGTCTTAGTAAAAATGCAATTAAAGGTAACAGACGTTTGGATAATGTACTGATGTTAAACATCTAGAATATGAACTGTTTTTTGTTTTGTAGAATGAAGAATATTAGTTTGAGCATTTAATTAATATATGTAACACCCACAAAGAACTCTAGCCTGTCTCCTTGTGATTTTAATGTAAATCTGATCTGGTTTTTACTGAATAGACATAGAAGATAGCCGATTTTCAGTGAATATAAGAGACTTTTAAAATAATGATTAAAACAGTTTTTGTATTTTCTAATACTAAACCTATTTTTAAGAATGGGTTTACTTCACATTGGAAGAACTGTACTAGCTCTCAAACGTTCTTTATTACTTAACAACTACTTACTCCATAAATCAAAGTTTGTAACTGATAATTGCTCTGTGTTCTAAAGTTTGATTTATTTAGAGTCAGAAATTTGATGGCAAAATACTTCCTTGGTGATTTTCAGAGAGTTTCAAATTACCGCATCATCTGTTAAAGCGACTGCAATATTAATATGCAAAGCAAATCTTATAGTCACATATTTTACTCTATTTAATCTTTTCAGACTTTTATTTTCAAGTTTTATGGACTGGATGATTTACAAGACCCCTTGTAACCATTTACCTGTAAAGAGGATGATAATGTTAAAGCGTTACTTCAACAAAGTAATAACGGGTATTTGTAAAAGGGATAACATTATTAACATATACATTTAATAAAGACATAGGAGTAATAACGGGTATTTGTAAAAAAGATGACAATGTTAACATACACATTCAATAAAGGTTTAGAAGTATTAGGATTTGCTTGTCAAAGAAATGACAACATTAACATATATCTTCAAAATACAAACACACACACACACGCATATATATAGCTATGACATTAAATAAAGATTTAATATTTATTTCATAACAGTGATGGAACTATTGTCATATGGATAGGGATATCATCATATATCTGTCGAATATTAGCATACAATTATCAAAGGCACGAAAATGGTAACGTGTATTTGAAATAAATGAAAACATTAGATAATGGTTATCTGGCAATAAAATAGTTTAAAAGTTAGACAACCCACATAACGACTTTAACAATTCTTATTAGAGAATACTGCTGTGGCCGTTGTCAGTCTTAAAGTAAAATATTATTCTTAAAACAACAGCGTTCTATGTAACGATACCATGTAAAAATTGGGAAGTATCATATTTTTTATTGAAGTTATCAGTTTTACACCATATTCTTTATCTATATGTGCAATTTATACGGGATTATACTGTTTAACCTTGATTAACTGTTGATGAATTATGAATTCATGAGAGTAAGTTGAACTGAATTGTATCGATGTTTTTTATATAAAAATAAGGTTTAATATGTGATAAGTTTAAGAATAATATTTTGTTGTTTTTAATTATTTTTCTCGTTTACTAACTGCGTGATTTTAAGACTTGCGTAAGTTTGGTTACTGTATTGTAATAAAAGAATCTACGTGCATATTATTACGCACTGTTGAGATCATAGGGTACAAAGGAGTGACAGTAGTGAAACAAAAACAAGCAGAAGAATCGATTAGAATATAGATATATGTGCCAAAGGAATTGGAAATATTAGCATTTATCTGATTTATCTGTCAATAGAATAGCAGTACTTATTATATTAAAATAAAACAACTACCTGTTAAAGGAATTCCAACAAAATGGGGAATAGCTTGACAGCACTGTAGAAAACCCCATGCTTTGGCAAAGTTCCTGGCTCGCACCTTGTCAAATATGTACATCTTGAGGGAGTAACAGTAGCCTCCGTAGAAAATTCCATAAACCCACACAAATAGAACGTAGCCGTAGTAATGCTGAAGCGCAGTAAAGGCGACTAGAGATACGCTGATCATGAACGATGAGGCTTGACACAAATACTGGGGTGCTATCATACACTGCATGCTTTTCTTTACAACAATGAGACCAAATGCCCCACTGCCTAGGATAAAAGCTAAGCCTAAATACACTTGTAGCAGAAGAAGCAACTGGTAGTCTAAACCTTCCGTCTTTCCTTGATATGTCTGTCAGGAAATAAGAATACGTTAATCCTACTCTCTGTAAAATTTTACAAACACTACACCACATTCTTCCTACCCGAACAAGTTAAATGTTATTAGATGAAATGCAGATTAGAGTCAACTAAGTTTCATTCGATTATGTATAATAAAACCACTGACTTACAAATTAATTTGCTAGAAATTAACAATCATTAATCTAGATGTTCTGCCTAGTTGTGTAGTTTTAATAGTTTTTGTTTTGTTGTTGTTGTTTTTTTTCAAATAATTAGTTGCAATTCTTGGATAACACTGAAAGAAGAAATATAAGTTATATTAACTGAGGAGACTATATCCTTAAAAACAGTCAAGAGTATTGTATTGTTATTTTTCAACTTACATATTCGATATTCTATGACAAGAAATAACAAATAGAAATATTCGATTTCTCAAACGGAATTATAAAATGCTTTTAAAGTTTAGAATTCTTCAACAGATGGCAGCACATCTCGAGAAAAATGAATAGAAATATAAAGAATAGTTTGGAAAAGATGTGATGAACGGGATGCAACATATAGGAACATTTTACACTAGCATCCATCCAGTAAGAATAGATCAGTAAAGAGTAATAGAAAACAGATAGATATAATTGATTTATTTTACATTAGTGCTATTCTAATTATCTAAAAGAATTACAAATAATTTTAAACAACATTCTCTGTTATGTGATTTGGGGTTTCCGTATTCAAATTCCGCTAGACATAATTATACTTATGAGATTTTATTAACAAAAGAAGAATCTGTAAGATACTGAACTTGTAATTAGAAATGCTTTTAAGCACCATCTATTATCATGGTAAGGAAAATATACTGATAAGATATTCGGATGATGAATTATAAATACTACTAAACATAAAATTGTAACCTTTAAGATCTTTGGGTTTATAGAAAACGCTGCTAATCACAATTTACTTACAAGTAAAATGATGGGTGTATGAACTCCAAATGCAGTTAAACTAGTTCCAAAGATTAAAATTTGAACTGTTCTCGATTTTAAAACTCCAAAATCAAAGAAATGCGGTTTCTCTACAAGTGTTTTTTTATCTTTAGCCCGAGATCGTTTCTGTAGACTCTTCAGATGCAGAATGGCTCTTCTTTGAGGGTGGTAAAGAGATGCAGGTCGGTAGAAAATGGCCAACAAGAAACACATGAAGACGATTCCCGTTATGGCCTGAAGCCCAAGCCTCCAACCGATAGTTCTATAAGGAAAACAAGTTCCGTAAATAACAAAATCGTAAGTAACAGGATCTTGTGTGATAGTAGTGACAAAATCACGCTTGAAAATAGCACAGAAATTTCTCTATATATGAAAATAAACTTTTCAAATAACAGAATCGTATAAATAAATATCAGAGCAATTTCCATGAAAAAATTTTAAAATATAACACGGAATGTTCTTTAAATAAAGTTATAGCGCCTGTAAATAACACTGGCGTTTAGAAAGAGAAGTGTATGCGTAAAATTAATTTTGGTAAACAAAAGAATAATTTCATATACCAACTTAATGTAGATTTTGTAAACAGTGTTGATAGTTATTTCATTTATTTAGATGTTTAGTACTATAAACATTTAGCATAGGTTTTATATTCTGTTTCTTTGGACGGCTGCGCTGTGATTGTTTCCATGAACACAAGATTTGATGAATTACATTTAACCTGAACGTCTCCGCTTCCTTGTGATGAATATGATGCACATTAATTAAGTAAGCTATAAAACAAACTTCTGCTTCTCCTTACCTTATACTCTCACTAAGTACAATGGGCATTACCATGATTCCAAGGCCTGTACCACAGGAGACCATGATCTCCACCAACGATCGCCTTCTTTTGAAGTACTGGCCAACCATCAGTGTAGTCGCATCTCTAGTCAAACTAACACCGCAACTTATTACTATACCATAACTGAGGAATAGCTGATGGAACTGAGTAGTAAATGACGTAAACAGGTAGCCGAGGGCTGTAACAAGACCTCCAATAATTGCTATAAGGCGGGTACTCTTTTTCCGACAGATCGCCACTACAACAGGAGAAAGAAGAAGAGCCACACCGGTAGAGAGCGCTCCGAGACATACTGGAAGAAAACATAAATTTAAGATGAATAATGTTTTTGATTTCTCAACAAACAGATAAATGGATAGCTAGATAAATGTATAAACATATATATATATATGGTTTAACTATAAATTTTACTCTAAAGATGTATTTAACATGTCTTTAAGTCGATAGTAAGTGTTTATTTGTTTTAGCACAAATCTGCACAATCACTGCCTGCGTTATGTCGGCCGTGGGGAATCAAACTTCGGAGTTTAATGTTGTAAGTCCGTAAACTTATAGAATCGATAGTATATGAGTTATTCTATGACTTGTTTATTCAGCTGGTTACTGACAACCGAGGTTCTTAAATTTTTCAAGCTTAAGATTTATCTGACATATTTAACGTGTTGTCGTTTGACACACTAAACTCAGAAATGACTTTAATCCTGAACACGCGTTGAAACGGAGAAGAAAACGCCGTACTCTCTAGAGAACCACGTGTTACTACGGAGTCTCTTTTTTTTTAAGTTTTATTTTCTCCTGTACGTGACTTGGTTGAATGGGAAACAAAAATGAACGTCAGGAGACAGGATAATGGCCTAACAGAAATTCAAAGAACAAACAATTCTCATGTGTTGATTTTATAAACACGAACGTACGATACGGTTTTTGCTGTTCAAAAGCCGATTTCTATACTTCTCGCTACTTAGTCACCTAAAATTTAATCTGCCCATAAGAAACATATGACTGATTTTTCGAAGTTACATGTACATTAGAAAAATTTAACTTTTGAAATGTTATTTGAGAATTTCTATTAATGTTTGAGATATTCACTAATAGAAAATTGTTATATTTTATGGAGTTCAGCATATTCGTCGTTTCAGTGAGATTTTGTACTAACTTTGATTAATTAAACTTCAATCACTTACAATTATGCAATTTAAGTATTTATTTTTGTTACAGAATTTTGTATTTCCACTAGTTTTGGATGTACAATTATTACTCGGTAGCGCTAATATCCAAACTCGAAATAAACAACAACAATAAAAACTTTTAAAGTATTTTGTGTATATACTTTGTTAGTTATGTATTTCTTTCTAATTCCCTTTCACTAAACGGTTCACATTAAGCGCTTATGGATGAAATATAACTTTGTCTGGTCTTATAAATTAATATTATTTCAAGAGTTCGTTGACTTTTGGAATTTAAAAAAATGAATGTGATTTTGTAATGCTAATGAGCTTTAAAATATTTTTACATCTTCATATGTTAAAAATATTATTATTAATTTTTCGTGTCTTTAGCTAACTAGTTATAAAACCATTACATTGATAGAAAAGTATGTTTTCTTGTTGTAAGCACAAAACAGCACAATGAGTTATCTGTGCTGTGCTTAACACATAGATCGAAATCAAATTCTAGCGTTATAAGTCCTCAAACTTACGACTGAGCCACCTGGGGAGGGGGGGGGGAGGCTAATAGCAAAATATTTATTTGTCGATTTTCGTCATATTTATATTTAACATAACAACCTGTATGTGGGTAAGTAAGAACTGATAAACCAATATTACAGCAAGATAATTATTATCATGGTATCAGTTAATGTTAATAGTCTTAAATAACTTAATAAAGAGCTTCATGACTGAAATCGAACAAATTAAGATATATATATCTCATTGAAGATAATTCAGTATTAATGGTTAACGTTACACGTGAACTTACTACGTTACAACGAGAAAGAATCATCTTTAAAATGAAGAAGAATTGCGACTGCAATACCAATTAAACTACAAATGGAACAAAGCACAACAAACTCATCGTGATATCAATGACTCGTCAGTTCTCTCATTAAAATGTGTAAACTTTTCGTGATTTAATGAATCGCTAGTTCTCTCATAAAGTGCTGTAAACTCATCGTGATTTCAATGAATAGTCAGTTCTCTCGCTGCTAAGGATGCTAATTTCAACGCAGAGTTTAAGCTTGATTTGTTTGAAAGTAAAGATGAAATACTAATTTCTGTTGACGACAACAGTAATATATATATTTGCACATGAGTTAATCTATATATTAAAAGCTTAGCATAATACGCTTGTTTTCCATTTGTCCCATAGAAAATCATATTAAAAGTATGAATCTCTCCTGTATACCAAACATCATATTCAAACTACTAAGAAAGGGTCGTATATATTCATTTAAATAATGGCCGTTTTTCGTTGTAGCTGTCAGTTTATTCTATTGAGAAGTCTTGAATTGATAGAGATTCCTAATTTCCGTTTCCGTACAAATTAATCATTCTAATGACTGTCAGTGACATCACCACAACAGCTAATGCAACATGCATGAAATGGACCCACCGCTCATCAAATACAGTGTTCACGTGCAGAACGAAACGGTTAAATAAACCTACATTTCTATATTGTTGCAAAATGTGTATCGAGATAGTACAGCCGGGCTGCATTTAACAGTCTTCGTGGTCATTATTTTTTAATCTGTTTTCTCGCCTGACTAATGTTTAAGCTACACTTAATAATTCTTTCTATCTGCCTGTCCATCAGTCTATGTAAGATCACTCGATTGTTTTAAAGTCTTATCCACAATAAAGACGATCATCAACAAAGAAAACGAGGTCGGTTTTTAAACGATATGAATATCTTCACTGCCATATGCAGGACAGTTCAACAATTATAAAAACGTTCAAAGCATATTCAAAAAAAGCCCAGTCTGGCATAGCCAGATGGTTAGGGCACTCGACTTGCAATCGTCGGGTTGCGGGTTCGAATCCCCTGTCCTATCAACCATGGCGTTGCCCCTTTTAGCCGTGGGGGCGTTATAATATGACAGTGGTTGGTGATGACTAGCTGCCTTCCCTCTAGTCTTTCACTGATAAATTAGGGACGGCTAGTGCAGATAGTCCTAGTGTAGCTTTGCGCGAAATTCATAACAAACAAACTCAAAAATGGAGTTCTTTATATTCGACAAAAAAGATTTATGAAGAGAAAAAGATAAATCAAGGTGAAATATAAAATGTAGCGATAGGTACGAACTGACGCGTGTTTGTATTATAGAACTGTTCTTGAACCTTGTACCCACTAAACTACATCACGAAATAACACTTACAATCTTATTCTATCACTTATCAAAGAGATTTGATGGCACATTTTATTCAGCTAATGCACCTAGAGTCGCTCTCTTACTAGTAAATAAGGTATCCAAATTTGCTTTTTTAACTAGTAACTAATGTATCTAAAGCCGACGTCTCACTAGTATTGTACTGACCCAAAGACGCCGTCTTATTTGTAACTTTTGTATCTAAGGCCGCCTTCTTACTAGTAAGTAGTGTACCTAAAACAGGCTTCTTGTTAGTAACTAATGTACTTAAAGCCGCTTTCTTACCAGTAACTAATATGCCTAAAGCCACCTTCTTACTAGTAAGTAATGTACCTAAGCCTCTTTCTTATTAATACGTGTTATCCCTCATACCGCCTTCTTGCTAATAACTAATGTACCTAAAGTCGCCTTCTTACTAGTGAGTAATGTACCTAAAACTGCCTTCTTACAAGTGAGTAATGTATCTAAAACCGCCTTATTACTAGTAAGTAAATTACCTAAAACAATTCTTTTACTAGTCACTAATGTACATAAGGTTGCCTTTTTATAACTAAGTAATGTACTTAAATCTGGCTACTTACTCGTAAATAATGTACCTAAAGCCGCTTTTTTATTAATAAGTAATATCCCTAATACCGCCTTATTGCTAATAAGTGATGTACCTAAACCTGTTTTTTTTACTAGTAACTAATATATATACGCCGCCTTCTTACTAGTAACTAACACACCTAAAGCAGACATCTGGTAACTAACGTACCTAAAGACTCATTCTTGCTAGTAATTAATGTACCTACAGCAGACTTCTTACTAGTAACTAACGGCTTTTTAATAGTAAGGAACCTACCTAAAACGCCATCTTATTAGTAACTAATGTACCTAAAGCCACCTTCTTGTTTGTAACTAATGTATCTAAAGCCGCCTTTCTACTAGTAAGTAATGTATCTAAAATCGCCTTCTTACTAGTGAGTAATGTACCTAAAGTTGCCTTCTTACTGATCAGTAATGTAACTAAAACTGTAGTTTTACAAGTCACTAGTGTGCCTAGAGCTGCTTTCTTACAAGTAACTAATTTACCTAAAGCCGCCTTCTTATTACCAAAATAATGTACCTAAAACCAGTTTCCTGCTAGTAACTAACATACATAAAGCCGTCTTCTTATTAGTAAGTAATGTACCTAATGCTGCTTTCTTACCAGTAACTAATGTAACTAGAACTGCCTTGTCGTTAATAAGTAATATACCTAAAATCGCTTTCTTGCAAGTAACTAATATACATAAAATCGCCTTCTTACTAGTAAGTAATGTACTTGGTTTATTCAACGACGATAAGTATAATTTGACAGAAAGCAGCAACGGAAATGAAATAAATGAAAATGTTACTGAAACAACGACTTTGTTAAAATCTACTGATACTGGAGGTCAAGAGAAGATCCTAAGAGCTCAAATAGATCTGGTTGTCACTGAACATGATTTACATGATAATACAACAAGATAATATGGAACTGAAAGATATTCTACACAGAGTGGCTCAAAAGTTTAATATACCAGATTATAAAAAAGAGTAAATATTAATGACTTATAGAATACCTGTCCATAATTGTAAAAAGGTAGCCCCTATAATAGAGAAATTCAAAAGTCTTTTGGATAAAGAGAAATGGTTGAAGAATAAGAGGAACGTGGTTAAACGAAGTCAAATCCAACAGAATATGGGAGAAAGTAGAGTTTATATAAATGAAAATCTAACAGTTGCTAATAAGAACCGTTTTGAAAGGGAAGGACATTATTAAAAGAAAAACAATATGAATTTATTTGGACAAAAATGGTAATGTGTTTGTAAGAAAATCAAAAACTCAGTATGTAATAAATATTAAAAATGTATAGTTAATTTTGAAAATTTATTATTTAATTTGTTATAATCTGTTGATGTTA